CATTACACAAAACCAGCCCCGCATGCCAGATTCAGTCTTCACAAACTGCCTCAGCCAAACTTCAACTGTAACTCAACAAAGCTCCCAAGTGAGAATTTCTGTGATTTGTTGAAAATTAAAGTCTCTCTAAGCGATATGGCATCATGCTGATTTTTAAGAACTTCAGGAAATGTGTATAAAGGTGTCTAATGCCTAATGGAGAACTGATTGTGCTGGAAATCAGAGTAAACAACCCAAAGCACCTCAACCTTGACCTCCTTTCAGCTGCTGCTAAGTTGCTATGGCAAATCTTCAGGTTCTGTTCCTCATGGCTCAATAAAAAAATGAACCAGAACACACTCATTTTTAACATGTAATGCTTTGTGTTTGTACAGCACATACCTATCAAAGCTGTGAAACGCTTAGCACTAATTCCAGCTAGAAGACAAAAACGTAGCGGACTAAGAGGCACCTGTTTGCACTGGGCACAGTTTTTATAATTAGCACAGCATGGGCTGGAACAAAAAGATTAACGTTAAACTTCCTCATCTGATTGGGAAGAGGCTCTGCCCTTGGTTACACTTCCCACTGTAGTGTTCTCCCCTGGACAATTGGTGGAGAGGCAGCTGCAGAACCATTTCTTCTTCTGAAATTACAGCTAGATCCTGCCCTGTCCCAGCTCTGATTTCCATACCCACCTTTACAGCCAACTGTACAATTTGCATTGTCCTGATATATTTAAAAGTAGTTCTGAAGTTGAAATATCTGCATTTCAGTAAGTTTAACCAGTCCCTTTATCCAAGGCAACAAGTAGCCATGACTAAGTGGAATGATGTTTGGTCACTGATGGTATCGAACAGATTTTAAACAGTGAAGCAGCAGTGAAAGGGCTGGGGTGTGAGTGAAGCTTTTGAGTTGTTTCTACAGTGATAGACTTCCACAGTGGCTGTCTGTGGCTTTGAACAATTGGAATTTTTAATTATAGACATTATTTCAGTAGCTGCCTGGTTTGAATAAAGATTAAAAGGTGCCGTGGCTGTTTATTCTAAGCTTATCTAATTATTTTTCATCTGTAAATCAACAATAGACTGTAAGAAGGAAGTTCTTGGATGCCAGATGATTCCTGAAAACCTTTTCTTTGTACATCTAGTAGCAATTACTGAAGTATCTACTTTTACCTTCAGCAATCTAGCACAAGTACTTTAAGCTCAGGAGGAATCTAGTAAATCAACAGGAAAAACCCTTCATCATGCTTAAGCTCTCAGTTTCCTCCGAAGCTTGGCAATTTTATACTAAAGTTTCAATGGCTGCAGGCATTCACCAAACTTTTTAAAGGACTGTACTTCTCTGATGGTTAACTCTTCAAAAGGCTGTTATGTTCCATAGCCTGTGGGTTAAATAACATGATCCGGTATTTCCTAAGAGTATCAATAGTAACCACATGTAGCCTGAAAAATTTTACTATGGATCTGGACCTAGAAGGACAAAGCAAATCATGTATCTATTTCAAGACAACCAAGTATATAATCTTACAAGAGCAGATTTTAAAAACTTGAGCCAAAAAGACAAAAAGGAAAATATGAATTTGCATAAGATGCTAAAAAAACCCTATGCATGTATATAGCACAGCATTTAGCTGGTGATGGGTTTGTTTACTTTCCTCATTAATCATGAGCTGATGGCTGAAGTCCAATGAATTAAAAAGGATAACAGCAGAAATTTGTTTGGCCTCTCATTTCAGTTATTGAATTCAAATTAAGTTCATTCACCTTCACCAACAAATACATTATAAATAATAAAATTTGCCATGTTTCATATCTGTTCTCTCACTTTCTGCTTTTCTTTCTGTATTTCTTTTCCTCAACAGAGAGATTTAGTGACAAAGAGGATGTGGGCTCCAAAAAGAGTTAACAGCATTTCCTACTGCTCTGTCCTCCCCTCAAGTCTCATACCTTGCATTTAGTGTTGTGGACTTTCTGATAACATCCCAAACAGAAATATAGGGTCTGTGATACAAAAGGAACAGGTAGTACTGAAAAAAATTTTCCAGGAAATTCCTGGGAAATATCCCAGGAGGCATCAGAAAGACAGACTAGGATAAAGAAAGAAAAAATAATAAAAATCAGAAACACCAGGGTATGCACAGATAAAAGATCCTATCAATGAGCTACACAATTTCTTCTGAACAAATAATTCTTGATCGCTTTCCTGTGGTTGCATACACTGCTGAAGTGTGACTTTTAATTGCTTTCAGCCGACTACTTCTAGTCTTACATTCAACCCACTATCCCCATGTTAAATTTTACCTCACTTCATTTAATATAACTTCTTTTATATATGTCAGTTAAAAATGTTATGCTATTTTAGCAGGGGCTGGATGGGGAAATCACAGACTAAGGTAAAGAAGAAAACCCTGCATCCAGTGAACCCCACATCCACTGGCAAATCTGTTTACAGAGCTTTGCTTTTTCTCACCTTCTTTTCTGCTGGCTTTTCTATGAGCAGATAATGACACTTATTTTCAATTATTACAACCTATATGGACCTTAATTTATTTTTTTGTGCTGCCTAGAACATAGTTATTTACTTTGATTAAGCTTTCTGGCTAAGAAACAACTATGCTTGTATTCAGTGAAGGACAGCAAAATCACTACATCCCAAAGGAAGGAAAACAGCAAACTTGAATCATAAACTCGGCATTACAGCTACAGATTTGCAACATATAGTAATTTGCCTCTAGTTCTCTTGCACATGCTGACCAAAATAATCCATTGAAACAGAAATGTCCTGAGTTGTAAGAACACAAAAACATGCTAAATCCCAGTCTTTTTACATGAGTCCCTGACTGCAAAGAGTTTATCCATAAAGTGAAAATTTCAGTCTCTGAAAACAAGCACATTTCTGAACCCACATTTATTTTTTCCTCAGTGCCTAACATAGGCATAAGCCACCTTTGTAATTAGTGTATATGATTTGAACTAACAGTGCCTAGCACAATGCTGCAGGCGCTGCTGCACTACAGACACATTATAATAATATGTAAAATACAGAGCCTCTCAAACAGCCTTCTCGGAGTTGGACACAGCCAATTGTGTGGGTTTGACTGCAAAAAAATTATGCTAACAAAAGTGACTGAGGCTTTTGAGGTTTTCTGCTTGAGAGGTCTGGGGCATTTTTTTGGAACGACTCTGGAATAAAAGAACAGTTTTTGCATTTATGGTTTGGGAAGTGATATTTAGATATGCAGCTAAGACATCAAAGATTCCTGCAGTGAAGCACCAGGACGTACCAGCTTAGTGAGACAGACCACATCCAGAATTCATGAACTAGCAGAAAACCAGGCTCATCAATGCACACAGAGCAATACCGTACAGAAGAATGAGGCTAGTCCAGATGCAGCACAAATATATTAGCTTGGCTCAGTGTGCAAGCTAATAAGCCTCAGTTCTCAGCAGGGCTTACCGAGTCGATGCTGATACAGGGGTAACTGAGCTTTACTGCAGCTCAGACCAGCAAGTTGTTCAGGACCCTGTGTTAGCCCTTTATGTGTACACCTGATTTGAGTTGTGGTTGCTGGCTTGGACTTCTTCCACCTTTGTTCCCCACGTTTTGGGTTCCTGGGTTACCTCAAGCAAAGTAAGCTTGGATCTATCCCTGCATGTCCAACGACTGTAGCTTTTCATAAAATGCAAATTCAGGGAGCTGATCAAAGCTCTTGACAACAAAATCACTCTGTGTTTGGTCTGGAAAAAAAACCTACTTCAGATGGAATAGCTCCAGAAGTAAACACAAAGCCGGAGAGGTCAGAGAAAGTTAGAGATGCATTGAAAACCATGACACTTCCAACCTGACCTTGCCCAACAGCAAGACCACTGCTAACAGTGATCCATATCCTTTCAGTCCTTGCTCTTCCTGGCAGCAGTACCAATTAGTGCTTCATGTGGTTGCAGCCCACTAGAGTAAGACCATCGATGCTAACATTTAAGTTTTCCCTTCCTTCTCTGCTCCCTTACCCCTTCATGCTGAGGGCATAATGACAAAATGTAGAATTTAGCCTTAATTGGATCTCTGCAATGTTATCACCTGAATTAGCTTCCCCCATGAATAATTATCACTGCCTGGAGGCTGACAAATTGCTTCCCTCTGCTTCATGATTGTCAGGAATTTCAAATTGTATGCTGAGCATGGGGGGGGGGGGAAATGAAAATGAAAAGTCTAGTGAAACATAATAATTAAGATTATTAAAATATTTGGCACAGGGTCCCATAGTGTCCCTGAGTCCCAAAAGGTGTGAGTGACAGCAAAACGTTGCTAGGGGCAATTGGGCAACACCCAGTCTTTCACCCAGCAATGACTACAGCAATAGACTTGCACAGTCAAAGCAAAACCATAACCACTGCTACTGCCTGGCTCACAGTTAGGCAGTTCTTATTGTATTCACTACCCCATTTAAGCTACGTACATCAGCTTGTTTAGCATCTCATCTGCATATTTGATCTTGCTAGGTAGATGGTAAATTCTTCATAGCGTAGACTGATAGAAGGGTAAACATATGCAGGGGGATAGCAGCAGATTGTCATACATTTAGAATAGCATATAATAGTCCTTGCTTTGTAAGAATAAGGTCTCAAGGTCTTGAGGAAAAAGTGCTTTTTATGAGAACAATCATTCCATGTCTGGGCAAGACCTCGCACAGAAATGCAATGTGTCACTACACCACAATATCCATCTCAGATATCAAAAGGGCTGACAACTGGTAAGAAATCTTCATCTCATAAAACCAAATCACTATAAAAGTGTAATGCTCTTTGAAAATGGCTTGAAATGATCAGATTAAGCAGTAGGGCTTTATCCAATTTTCACATTAATGATGCTGTGCTTGAAAGATTGATGCATTTCTCAGTTCAATTCAATGCAGTTCCTCAAACTTCTTTCCCACCTTGCCGAACCCACAACACACAAGTCAGGCATAGACAAGGTAGCTGCCAACATATTCCCAGGAGAAAGCTCTGTCTGCTTACCTGACATACAGTGACCTCTTCTGATTAGTCCTTAGGGAGCCAGACCCAGAACTCATGCTGTGATTCATCATCTGCTCACGCAGGTCATGGATTTTTGCCTCAAACCGAGCGTACTCTAAGGAGATTAAAAAAAAAGAGAATAAAGATATTTTAGTTTTCTTGACCTATATAATCATTAGGGCTGCTAAATGCAAATTAATGTTAAACTAATGAGTGTAAGGCATGTCCTGAAAATTGAGGTCTAATAGAACCTTGCATTAATATGTTATCTTAGGTAAATATATGCTCTCTTTATTGTGGTACCTGAACATTTAAGCACTGACTATGTGAAAAGTCAAATAGCTAGACCCTCTTTCCTGCAGTTTCAGGAAAGGAAAGGAGGTTTAAAGTGTGTTACCAAATATCTTCCAGTCTGCAAAAAGGATGTTGAAAGCAGTTTTCCACTGTATCATTCCTCCTTCCAAACAATGAGATATCTTGTTAGGGGCAGTGGGATGAAGAATTTAGTGTAAAAATCCCACTGAACTAAAGGAGATATATCAAAGACTAATTATCCCTGAAGCAGCTGTGAAATTGTTGTATGAGCAATTAGCCACCTTATTTATGCAGCCCACTGAGGACTGGGCTCTGTTTCTTTTAAATACGTGGATCCATAGTTCAGTCTTAGGGTGGGGGATCCCAGAAACTCCAGACCTGCTTAAGCTGCATAAGAATGGCACAAAACCACCTCCCACACCTTGTTCTCCTCCACAGATCTGCTGGCAGCTTTCTAAAATGTTGTGACCTGCTGACCAGCAACATGGGACCAGCACTGGGGCAAGGATTCAGCTAGAGGTGTATCATTTGGTGAGGCTCCTCTCTGAAAGATCACATCCCTCATACAGCCCGGTCAACGGTCCCTCCTGCTGGCACATTCCCCTTGCTCATTGTGTGACCTAATGGGCTGAGTTTTGGTTTGCAAGAGGAAAAGTTGAAGTTTGGGAGACAAGCTCCAATTCCTTGAAACTGGCAACCTAAAGGCAATGCTCTAGCAACATTGAGAGTCATAATTCAACCTAAACCCAGGAAATCTACCAACGCGAGCTAGAAGACTAACTTGAGGGGGTGTACAAAATCCATTTCAGTGAGTCAGTGACACTTTGAAGAGTAAGATGTTGCAGACTGATGCCAGCAAAGAGAAGATGATGTTCCCTGCACCTCAATGTTTTATTTCACTGCCTGCTTCAAAAGGAAGGTCTACATTTGCCCACAGCAAGTCTGGAGTAGAAGAGAGACCAGCATGCAAGGTTTCCTCCCTGAAAGGATGGAGGTACATCCCACCAAATCACACTATATCTCAGTTTAAGCAAATAAATCTTTACTGTGCATTTATAACCTATTGGTCTGCTCCCTGTTTGTTGCTGTTTGAGCTATGTGAGAATGCTGTAAGACAGCAATATTCTCATTTTCTCTTAGCAGAAATCTCAGCATTATTTTTGTTTGATCATTTGCTGTTCACACTGGCTCAGTTCCCAGAATGTCTAGATGCTTTGCTACAACAACTAATTCATTTTATTCGGTGCCCTTTAACTTTTCTTTGGATAATAACATCTGACCTTTCCAAGATCCCACATTTTGCATAGACACTAGCTACCTTCAAGCTGGCTTAGCAGAGTGGTTTGATTTGGGCTTTTGCATTTGTTGTTGTTTTTTTTTTTTTCCCCTTCTTCTTCTTACTTGATGCATTTTAACTCCCTTTCCATTGAGCTTCTTTGGTATTACTTACTGAGTTTGTTAAGTGACAGTGGCTACTTTGCCAATCAGCTGGGAACCACTGCTGTGGTATAAGTCTCTTCAAGTCTTCCCACATACCTATGACTTCACTGACTGCAGCTGAAATTCTGTATGTCAGGAGAAGAGACACTCCTACATGCAGACTGTATTTCAGATTTATTCTGTAGCTTGTTTCTTGCTCATTTCTTTCACCTAGAGTACATCTTTAAACTTCTCAGTGATTTAAAACCCCAAATCCTCAGCGGAACTAAGGCTCCTGCAAACCTGTGTTGTTTTTTAAAGTGGAGTTTAGTTTTGAAGTGTTTATCCCAGTGTAGGATTTAAGTTTGCTCTATGTGAGTCATATTTGTTCTATTCCCCTGCTCTAGAATTTATTTAGTAAATAATCATCTTCTGAGCAAGGCTCTGTTTAACTTACATTTCATTATAACAAATTTAACATTTCTTCTTGGCAAATAGGAAAGGTGATCTTTAAAACAAAAAGCTTGCATTTCTCTTCCTCATACAGTGTCAGTCCTCTGCATATAGGCAAAATACTACAATTTTACAGGTTGTTACTAGGTCTCTCTCATGTGTGGTGGATACACCAAAGAAGACAGTAAACACAGAGTGTAATTCAGATTCTTTGATGTTTTACGTCTGGGCGAGGCCAAAGGTACGAATGATTTACATCAGAGCAGCTGTAAGAGCAGCTTTGCCTTTAATAAGCAACCATATCCCAGGCAGACTCCGTATGTGAGGTGTGGGAGTAACTCCCAGATTTAGACACCGATCTGGAGAGTGAGAAGAGAGGATTGAAAATCTGACTCTCTCTAGCACAGCATTCAGCTATTTGCAACTTGAACACCAGCTCATGAGATACTCGAATGACTACAGCTTGGTCAGATGATGATATTATAGCTTGTGTTCTGATTTCAGAGCACACTTGTAATTCAACTGATTTTAACTGACTGTAAATTTATTCTAAATTTAATAATCTTTCTTTTTCCGGAAGACATTTTGAAACCACAGCACATCTTAAAAATTGTCTAATAAGTGTGTGATGGAAGTTCAGGGTTCAAGCTACTGCTCCCTGCTTGATATTAAAAAATACTGAAGTACTAATGATAGGTCTGTTACTTTCTGTTCTTCAGATGTTTTTCTTCCTTTGGATTGAAATACATAGATAATTTGAAAATAACAAATTTATGGGCCTGTATTTTCCCACAGTAGCTTCTTCATATTTATGCATCAAAAAATACTGAAATGTACACCTGTCCCTTCCTCCTGACAAATGCCTGGACCAAAAAGTGCAAGGCCATCAATGCAGATATTATTTAACCCAGCTCAGATCAGCTTCTTTAATCTCAGTCCTCTTAGTTCTCCTACTAATGCTTAGATACTACAGTGACGGCTGCATTTGAAATGTGAACAGAAAAAGAAAGAGTGATGCTCTGTTTCTGCCATCAGAACTGCTCCGGTAGTTCTGCCCACTGGGAAAAAGTCCTTTTTTCTTAACACTTCTTTATATATGGGGTCATTCCAGAGGAGCCGTTTCCTAATAGCTTTGCATTTGTTAGGTGTGAATAAGTGTCAGTGCTAAAGTCCAGAAAACCACTTCATGCTTCCTTCAAATTCAGCACTGAATCTAAATAACACACTTTCAAGGCTCCTACACAATTAAAAGGACACTGAGGTTGTGACACGCTGACAAGAAATGCAGTTAAAGCTGATTCACTAATTTCGTGCCCTTTAAAGAAAGGGAGAACAAAGAACGTATTGCTGCTGGAGTGCATCATTAGCAAAATTTGCCAAACTTTACTTACCAAAATCCATCTGCAAAGGTCCTACCCGTTGCCCGATTCACTAATGATCTAACAAACTAACTCTGCTACCTTAAGAAACTGATAAAGTTATGCATTAGACTAAAAGGGCAAATGGGCGAGCAAGCTGTAACCTACATTATTGCTGGGGTCAGACCAGATGATATAATGGTTTATGCTGGTCTGTGGCTCTGGAAATGCTGTAAGAAACAGGGCAGATGAGACATGTTAGTCCATAGTCCGCTTTAGAGCTGGCTCAGGGCTCATGGCAGTGTAGGTAGACCTGCATTTAGCCATCCCAAGGGTACGAATACAACTCACTAGCTCTGGAGATGCGGAGCTAGTGCCGTTGGGTGTGGGAGAGGAGATTGCTGCCGTGAGGAACGGCTCAGCTGCAGGGACAGCAAGACCATTTTCAGGGCTCTGGCATGGACATGTTGGGCTCTGGGTGGGCTGCCAGACCCAGCCGTGCTGTCCCAAGCAAGTGCCCATTTATCCAGGGGTCTATTTTCTAAGGTTGGCTCTGCTCAACTCTCTGGGCAGTCAGGAGACAGAGAAGAGTCAGCTTGAATTGCTGTGATGTGAATTGTTCCCAAGACCGACCAAGGCCAAAACTGAGTGTATTTATCAAATACAGAAACCAGTTCGAAGAACTGACTTTTGTCTGCTTCATACAGGACGCACTAGCCTGAATACGTGGACAAGGAGCTGGTGTTTTTCCTTCTACCTCATTCCAACAGCTTGCCAAGTGCTATATCTGGGACTCACAGACACTCTAACCTTCGAATATCAATGCAATTATTTGCTTTTCCAAAGCACTTGCACATGTTGAAAGGACTGGATAGATCTTTGGGAGTAATCTTCAAACACCTTGAACCTTCTCCTTAGTTCACATACTGAGAAATCAAAGCAAGGTAAATGGCTAGTCTCATTAAAAAAAAAAAACAAAAAACATCCAAACCCCCAAACCCTAACAGTAATGCACTTAAATGGAAACTTCACGTTTAGCTGGCCAAGATCAACACTATAATCTACAAAATCCTGCCTAATCCACTTTGGCATCTGAGGGTATGCAGACACCAACATTTTTACTGGTGAAGCGATTTAGATTGCTAAAATCCTGCCACCCCTTCTACAACTGTGCATGTACCTACATGATGGGGAGGAGCTGTTTTAACACACATCACCCTTTTGCGTTTCCTACTGGATGGCCCATGATCTGACTCAGTATGCGACCTGTTGTGAGTCTCATTACTCAACGCTTAAGTCTCTCCACATGTTGTGCAGGAAGATGCCATGAGTTTGTGAGATCCATGGTGCATGCCTAGACATTAGGGAAAGTTGGGATGAGTGTTGCTGTGACTTAAGTCCTTTCATATATATGCGGCAAGGACTTTTTCAATTAAAATAAGCACAGTATTGAAAGTTTAGCTACAAATTCTCCAAGTCACTTCAGAAATGGCCTAAAAGATTATGATACTTGCACATAGAAGAAAGCTTTTGGAAGTCTTAGATACGTTTCATAGAATCATAGAATGCT